ACGCCGTTCGCCTCCCACCACAGGAGCGGAGGGCGTCTTTTGACGCTGTTCGCACTGAACGTGTTAACACTATGCCCCAAAGAATTTCAGCCGTAATAAGAAACAAAGGTGATGTTACCCAATGGTAATCTTTCAATTTTTGCTTTGTTAACTTCGCGCATTTATTCGCATATTGTTTATTTATTCAGATGTTCTATTAGTTATAGGTCTATTTCAAACATGTAATTTTTACGACTAGAGTGTATCTAAAATGTTTTTGCCAAAATAAAATAAATTGTTTTAGAAGTGAATAGATTCGTCATGTTTAGTTTATAAAGGCATATTTTGGTACAAATCTTGAAGTGGGCCAACTGAAGTGGGAAGGGGCTCGTAGTAAAGAAAGGGTTATGGGATCTGAAGTTATCAACTGTATAAATTAGAGAATATCAAAAACCAATAAATCGTCTAGAACTATTATATTGTCCAAGATAGCCATCAAAAGCTATAAGGCTGTTATTTTCTAAGCTAAATAAAAAATCAAGTTATAGAGGCTTATTGGCGCACAAACAAACAGACAGGCTGACGGCAATGGGTGATATGTTTCTTCATGATGATATGCCCTAAAAAACGTGATAACTTATTTTCGAAAGTTTTCGCTGTTACAATAGGCGTGAGAAGTATGTCAGTTACAAACATGTATGATAGGCAAATTAACTGGATTAAGTCAGTCAAGCAGGAATATACAATTCTGAATTCTGAAACGTCAAAAGACGGAGCGATATCTATTGTTTTCGTTTTTGACCGTCCACTCTGCCATGACTGTACCGATTTTAAAAAAACTAGAAAGCTTTTTCGTCCTTGGCATAGTATTATCTTTGTGTGAAAATTTCATCAAAATCCAAGCGGTGCTCAAGTTACAGAGGGATCAAGGATTAGCGGACAGGCAGACTGACGGAAGTGAGTGACATGGTTTTTCGTGATGTACATGTCATATAACATTTAAAAAACATCTTATTTTCAATATTTTTGCGATTACAATACTTTCTCGCCCACTGGCGTAGGAAGTAAAAATGTAACGTGAATCCTTGATCACCTCACGTCCGTCTCCCCACAAAATGAATATCTGCCACTCAGGTTTTTGCAAGCTTTGCAATGCCATTCACACACAACGTTGGCCCAATAAACCCTTTTCAAAGTTACACTTCATCAAAAAAGCATTCACCACAGGCGTGGGCGTATGGCTCGAATAGATTTTTTCAACCCTATTATTAAAAAATGTATGAAACTCGACCCTTAAAAGGATCAAGTTTTTATCCGGCGGAGCAGTGCCCACAGTTATCTGGCCTTTCAGCAAAATATAATATCGCACCACCCTTTTTTATCTAAACCAGGACCTTGTTCGGTTGCTCGTTTCCTTTTTTATTATACCCTTTTAATTCGTGGCCCTTTTCCGGAGATACTAATCTGACAGTTATACTCTGTCGTCTATATAAAGCGAAAAGGCATGATTTACACCGTGTTTCACGTGTGGCAGTTCTGGTAAATAAAGTTTAAAGGGTAACATCAGTCTTAGGTCCACTAAGATGATTAATCTTATACGTTAGCTGGGAGGTAAAAAAAAGTAAGAAGATCCTAGACTTCATTAGGCCACCCATTCCGCTTAACAAGCAAAACTACTTTTTCCTTTTGTATTTACCAAAACATCCCTTTCTCCAGGTCACTGATGTCATTTTAGCGATTAACTTTTTATGTACCTACTGGTATCTTCATTTGTATTATATGTACAGAATTTTAAATCGCTATCTTTATCTGCTCGAGAGATACAATTCTTTCCGATTTCGTGAGCATAACTTGTGATTTTATATCCTGTTCGATCGATGTTTATCAAGAACTTTCCGTTTTGTTTTTAAACGTACTTTCTGCACTAGAAACATTACCACTGTTTTATGAACTACCCTGTATATAACTGGATGATTTTTCATAACGTTTAGTTAAATTAGCTTGGTAAACATATGCCAAATTAACAATAATATGTAGCTGTGTGATTTAATTCTTTCGAGCAAAATTATGACTAGTAAGTAAACGTATGCTTTCACGGCCGGTGTCAATGCTCCCTGTTGCTTCTTTCAGGCTTAAAGGCCGTGAGCTAGAGTTTACATTTCCAGAGATTTCGGCTTCAGCTGCGGTAACCATCTTCAGTTGCGCTGCAATCCAAATTTAACCGACTTATTCGTCGCCAACACGTTAGACCTCGATTGCAGTCTACTGAAGTTGGCTATCGCAGTTATAGCCGAGTAGCTTTGGTAATGTAAACTCCAGCCCATGGCCTTTAAGCCCAAAAGAAGCAACATAGAGCAAACTAATACTATTCTTATCTAAAAATACGACGAATCAGTCACCAACGAAATTTGGAAGATTGAGAAGAAGAATGAATGAGTTAACAACGTACAGAGAAGAGTAGGCTTTGTCTAAAAAGTAACATTTTGAACATCTGCTGTGATTTACCTTTCTATGATTATTATTATTATTACCATCAATCAATAAAAAATTGGAAAAAAGTCACGAAGATCTGAAGGACATGCTAAATTCAATAATAAAAAGACTGAAACCACCAGAAACAGCCTCAGAAATATCCATACTGAGAGATGCAACGCCAGTAGACTCCCATATATATTCGAAACATCCAGACCCAGAAGATGAAGTCCCTTGGTCGGCTCCAGGAGATTGACATGTGCGTTGAGTATACTCCCATTACCAAAGAACAAGAACCAGCTATTCCACCCCCAAAACATATATACTGTTACAGGGCAAGGACTTGGACTCGCCACCTTCAACAAAATCAGATACTCAGAGGTACAGAAAAAACTCAAGTCGCACCGGTTTTCTCAACTTTGTGAGTTAACCCACAACTTCTCCATCAAGCTAACGCGTTGCAGGATTTCCATGCTAAAATGGATGCGTGCCTAGGAACTATCTCACACGGATTACTGCTGCAAAGAGATGCCCTTACGAACTCTATTAAAACCATAATGGCCAATCACCCTAGGGATGACATCCAGAAACTGTTGCTCAAGGACGAGTTCCGCGAAATTTCTGATGGCATACTCCAATATACCCGCGGTCGACGAGCTGAGACCATTGAACAAAGGCGAAAATCTCTTAAGCCAAAATGCAGTTGCTTCTCAACTAGGGAACATCCCCCCATCAGAGGCTTTCATTTTCGATGAAGCACAGTTTGAGGATTTTTACAAAATACATGGTCGGTTTTTTCGTCCCAGCGCGCAAGGCCGTACTCATATTACCACGGGATACAACAGGAACGCCCGTTACAGTGGACAGCCATCAGATTCTAGACAAACTGGATCTCGTGAAAGAAACACACAGCAACGAACAAATTCCCGCAGTTCCACGAAAACCACCCCCAAAACTTACAGAAAGCGCCTTCAAACGGCAGAACATAATAACTCATCTAAGAAAACTGCTTCATTAAACCGTACGAGACGGCAATGACAATCCTTTTCAAGGGGGATGCTTGTCAGATTGCGTCGAATTCTGGGAAGAGATGAAAGCACCACAACACATACTAAATACCATCAAGAGGTACAAGCTACCCTTCGTCAAACATCCACCATTAACAAGTTTCAAAAATGGGCGGCAGAAACCATATGGGAAGATCCGACCGATTCTCAATTTAAAACGTTTTAATCACTACCTGCAAATTTCGAAATTCCACCTAATCAGCCACCTGAGGGTACCGGATTTCTTGCAAGAAAAGGATTTAATGGTAAAGCTAGATCTGCATCAGGCGTATTTCCGCCTTCCCATTTACTCCTATCATCGTCGCTTTCTCTCAGTAGTGCACAAGGAAACTGACTATCAGATGACATGCCTTCCATTCGGTCTGGCTTCGGCACCACTTACTTTCGCAAAAATATCAAACTGGTTAGCGAACCTACTGCGAAATATGGGAATAAGAGTCATCGTTTACTTGTACGATTTTCTATTATCAAACCAATGTCAGGAAACACTAACCAGGCAAGTGCAAGAGGCAAAGCAATTTTTACGAAGCTTGGGGTGGTGCCTAAACCTGGACAAGTGTTCGGCAAGCCCAAAGCAGCGGATGGAATATCTAGGAATCATATGGGACACCAAAAAGGGCGCCACCTCGCTTCCTCTACGAAAACGCAGGCTTCTAGGGCAAGACATCAGGGCCATCTTGAAAAATCGTCAGTGGAATTAGATAAAGGCAAAAAGACTCTTGGGAAAACTAAATTTTGCCTGCAGTGCGATACCACTAGGATGGCTGCACACTAGACACTTGAGAGGGCCACCCTGCTCCTGTCCAAGTGCGCGCTAACGAAAAAATTTCCAGTTCCAGCATCTGCTCTGACGGAATGCTGCTGGTGGCTGAGGAACCTGAAATGCGAAAGGGCGATGTTTTGGAAAGCCCCCACAGCTTTTATCACAACGGATGCATCCAACACATGCTGGGGGGCGCAGATAAATCGTACGCTAATCAGGAAAACGTGGATGAATCACCAAAAACCCTGGCACATCAACAGGAAGGAATTATATGCGGTATGGGCGACTCTCCGATTCTCTCAGAGCAAGCTAAAGAACCCATCAATCATGATACAGTCAGACATCAGAACGGTGGTTTCGTATATTCGGAATCAAGGTGGAACCAAATCCCTTCAGATGCTGGAGCTCACACATCAGATGCTAACCTTGGCCAACCAATTAGAAATGGATATTCAGGTTCAATACATTCCGAGCGTACTCAACACCACAGCAGACCGGCTTTCTCGTCAAAAACTTCTTCCAGACTGGCACTTATCACAGAAAGTCACACTCATGATTTTCAAGAAATGGGGCACGCCCACGATAGATTTGTTTGAGACAAATCGATCGCGGGTTGTGCCAGCCTATGCTGCAAGGAATGCCAAAGATCAGCAAGCAACCTTCACGAATGCCTTCATCAGGCAGTGGAATTTCCAGTTAGCGTGGATATTTCCTCCTCCATGCTTGATCCCACGAGTGCTACGATATCTAAATCAGGCTTCAGGAACGTACATTGTCATAGCGCCGAGATCGGAAAAAGTTTTCTGGAGAGCAGATCTAAAAGCGCGAACGTTAGCCTTCATATACGGTATCTGCATCATCATCAAATAGACTTGCCGACGAATCAACCACTCTCAAATCCGCTCACTAAGATTGGAAGCTTGGAAAATACGGGGTGGGCTAGGGCCCTAACTCACTGTAAAGAAGAAGATGTCCAACTGTTTATTAGCTCCTGGAAAAAGTCATAATTGAAAACATATTCACCACCATGGAAGGAATGGCTAGCATGGTGTTCTAGAAACAACATCATTCAGGAGACCCCTCTTCAGACCATCTAGCACAATACCTGGGATTTTTACACATCGAGAAGAACTCGCCCGCTAAACAATAAATAAAAAATAAATCCATGTTTGCCAACCCTATGAGCTCGGAAAGCCTTGCTGGAAATCCCATAGTAAGGCACATGCTTAAAACGACGATCTGTCAAGGCCTCCCGCCACTAACAGGAAACAGAGGTGGAACGTCAACAAACTTTTATCATGGTTGGAAGCCGATAATGTCGATAGAGGTAGCATATTTCAAGTATCTCGTCACTTGTCTGTAATTCTCGTACTAGCTTCGAATACAACATGGAGTTTAAGGATGCCACCGTTATTCTCCGTCCAGAATTCGGCTCAAAGACAGACAACAGCCTGTATCGCCAATCACGATGGTTCCTGAAACGGTGTTGCAAGATACAACATGATCCGGATACATCAGATGGTTCGCAGTTACATCCACTCGCCGTAAGTCCAAAAATGGGCTTACCAACTTATTCATAACGACCAGAGGTCAAGTGAAACCCACATCCCGCACTGCGATAGCGGAATGGATTAAAACTGCATTTAGCGAAGCGGGTATCTCATTTCCACCAGGCAGCATCAGGTCAGCAGTAGCATCGGCAAGATTTGAAAACAACGTGCCATTGGACATCACTCTGAAGAAGGGCAACTGGCAAGGAAGCCAAAACTTCTACAAGTTTTACTAGGTATATAAGGAAATTCAAAAACTTTCAGTACAAGAAGCACAGACTGTCTTAATACAAAGTTTCTTCTCAGTTGCGTGATAGGCTTATGCTGTAAATGATAAGGCAGATAGAATTACATTTATTTTTCTATTACATATTCTTGTTATGAATCAGAGTATCACTTTTAAGTTTTGTTATACGTGCCAGAATAAAGGATTTAGTTACAGATCGCACAAAATGCGTACATTAATTTTTTTTTGGTACTCACAGTACGCTTTTTTTACGTCGTGAGGTATACAAACACTTCTCATTAAGGGTCAAGCTGACGGCACAGATCTGAAATATACATCGTTTCAATTCGTTTCGATTATTTCAGCTCTTGCCTAGGCTTGACCCGATTTATGGGACAAGATCGCGAGTGTAATCTCATTAGGGGTCAAGCCTAGGCAAGAGTTGAAATAATCGTTTTTATTCCATTCTGGGGATAAACGATGTACATTTATGTTTTCTAGATAACACATCGTTTGTTTTTTTTTCGTTCACCTTCACATTCCTATACAGTGTTACTCCAATAGTCGGAAACTTCAGATAACATGCTAAGATTACCCGAAACCTTCATCCCAATTTTAAGATGGCACCGCGCAAAGGCAGCAAATTCCAGGGCCGTTAGCCACAAACTGTTGTCTGTAGAGTCAAGCACCTCACCCTCGACCACCGTCTCGAAAACGCCAAAAGTCTTCCAAAACGAGATAACCTACCCAGAATTATTGTCGTAACACGCCGGTTAACTGTTATGCAATATTCGACTGAACTGCTGCATGTGCATTGTTTATGGTTCCGAAATGCAAGAAATAGTACTTCGAAATCCAAGGGGACCATGCTGCTTATCATGTGAGGAAATAGTATGTGATACAACACATAAGATGGCGACGTAAAAGTCTGAGCAATAATAAATTACAAGAAAAAACCGGAAATTACAAGAAAAAACCGGAAGAAAAGTCATGGTCCATTAAGCTGGAGTATATCAAGTAGGTCTCTCCTCCAGAGATACTCGACCAAATTGGGTCACAGTCCACAGAAGACCTAGAAAGACAATTGTTCTTTAATTTGATATAATTCCTTTACCTTCATTTTGTAATTGTTATTATATTACTGAGACTTTTTCCCATTCTACCTGATTTGGTTAAGTTTAGTATCCTTGACGGTAATATCTAATTGATATTCTCCAGCCCAACTGATGGACCATATGTTTTTTATTCAAGTATTTTCTCATGGTTTGTTATTGGATCTCAAAGACGCAGATGTTTTACTCCGCCATCTCAAGGACAAGCTGTTGCGTCTTATATCATTTCCTTACAAGACAAAAAACGTGGTGCCCTTTATCGAAGTGATGCTGAACTTGCCACCACTAGAAATGTATCTGGAACAAGTCTCTCTGGCAACAACGGTACGCTTTAAATCAGTTGAGATACAACCGAGTATAGGATGCGGCACGGCCAGAAATTGCATGTGGTACATGCTAATCACACATAATCTGCCACTTCTGCATGCTGATACAGACAGAACTCCTCCAAAGTTCATCTTTGATCGACTCTATACTATTTCCAAATATGTACTGCTAGGTGCGTGAAATTAGTGGGGCTGGAAGTGTATAAAAAGATATACTGCTGTTAAAGGAATGATATATACCCTTTTCCACCCCCTAAACCCCCAACTTCCAATTTTTAACCCCTACAATTTTTCTTCTGAAAATGATCAGGAGCCTCTGAAACATCAAATAACGATGAATGAGTGCTTTTTACTTTTTTCGTGCTTTTCCCCCAGTGTGTCACCACTAGACTGAATTTAATAACTTGAGCGTCCTTTGCATAGTAGTAACACTGTGTAAATATGTCATCGAAATCTGCAGGGGTATTATCTAGAAAACCTAAAAAACGTAAAAAATTGACGAAATGTTATCTTGCAGACTAGGTAGTTTTTAGTGTGCAAATAGTTTCATTCCACGCTTGCTCACTACGACCGCTTTGAGCGTCATCAAGAGCATCCAACTATGGAGGAATGACTCAACGACATGCACACTCAAGCATGCCTTGTTGGTTGCAGAGAGCCCAGTACTGTTTATCTCTGTCAAGATATGAAAGAAAGAAAGAAGTAGCCGAGCGGAACTTTTCAAGTTATAGGCGGTTATAACATTAGCGGTCACACCGAAAGACCGACAGACCGTCTGACAGACTGACAGACAGATCGACGGAAATGAGTGACATGGTCTTATGTGATGCACATTTTCGAAAATTTTCGCGATTACAGTACTTCCCCGCCAGTAGGCATGGGAAATAAACAAACATGATGGAGATGGCTCTGGAGTATACTCCAGAAGCCACCGCGTGGATTACAAGTGGTCTATGGATAACATTTCTAGCGTGACGCAGATCGAATTAACTTGCATTACCTTAGCTTCTAAGAAAATTGGCCGCAGTAATGTTACAAGCAAAAATATAAGCATCTGCATGGATAGCAGTCTGGCAATACTGACTTTGGCGTCTAAGTCACGTCACCACCATTTTCATCAATCTGGAGTGGCTGATCTTGTGTTATAGCCCTTCCTCCTATACAAAATACAGAAAGGTACCCTTTAGATGTCGAAAAACTATTTCTCGCTCTTCAGATCCATAAAAAATGCACATGCAGCATTTCTGGGGCGGTTTTTGCGTTTCTCGGAGGACTTTTGATATTTTCGGGACGATGAGCGAGGATGACGCATCTGGTGCATTAAAGAACAACAGTAAACATCATGCTCGTTTGACACCTTGGAATGTTGGACGCCCTTTTGGAAACGGGATTGCCTACCCCGAGGTGTTCTGGGCTTTGTTGGTTTTGCGCGATGTCATTTCGATTTGCTATTGATGGCTTTGCGCAATCTCAGTATGTTAGAGGACCTCCCAGACTATTGTAGCAACGCTGTGTTAGTAACATGAAAATGAAAGAAGAAAGGAGAAATCAAAGGAAATTTCATCTGGAAGATAGATAAACAAAACGTATTCTCAAAAGGTATCAATAGAAGTTAAAGAAGTTCACGGTTGTGACTGAAACCTCGCGTCGTACAACAAAGAGGAGTTTTAAACATATATGGTTTGATCCGCCCAGAGAAACATGAGGCATTGAAAAACTCATCCTTGAAATTCCTATTTCACGGGGTAGAGCCTAAACGGCTCAGTGGATTTTGACATATGAGGTGTATCTGGATTTGTCTTAACAGTTCGAGTGATACTAGGTATACTGAAGTTATGTAAAAACAAAATGACAATTTCGATAAAAAATCGACCTTGTAGTCTTTGTTTCACGGTCCTTGAAAAACTTGATGGATTTTGACATATGATACATCTCTAGATTCCTCTTGATAGTACAAATAGGTCGTCATACTTTTCAGTTACTGCACTCAGTATTTTTTTTAAATGTACCTCTTCATTTACCAGGTGAATTTATTTTTAATTGCTATTGATGCGAGCCTCATTCTTGTTCTACCACTAACTATTAAAGAACCACCCTGATTACGCGCAATTGGTTCTCGTTGTTTTCAAGCCGCATTGCAATTGGTCACTGGTAGTTCAGAAACGTATCTGTGATGGTTTCCTGTAGAAAGACCGAAATAAAGCAAGGGCTATCATAAATTTTCAGACTACATGGATTGTTCGTGGAACCGAAATACGAGAAATAGTATTTCCGCACTCCATGCCCAAACTTTCATTTGTGGACAACGTGGAGATTTTGACTGCGTTTCATTTTCTGTTTCATACTGGTTATCAAACAATACGAAACATCAAAAAATCATTCCACATAAGTCGCAGTCGACTTACATAAAATCTCAGATAAGCTCGAAAGTAAGTCAGACATCAGATATGACAGCCTCATGGTTTTACGGCCTTAATTCACTTGCAAAACGAACGCAACAATTGCCTTTTATATTTCTGGTAGCCCAAAATTGTCAGCTTGTCATAAATCTCTATAATTAATTAGTACAAGACAAAAGGCAGGAAGGTCGGCCGCATAAGTTGTCACGTGTACTTGACCACACACAAAAATCTATATTATAAATGGGTTTTCACAGTGGAAAGAATAACATGGGATTTCACGAGAACAAACATCACGTGGGAGGTCTCTTACACGCAGGATTATGTGATACTTTAAATATAGGAAGTAATGGCAGTGAAACAAGCAGTTTCTGGAATCAGAAATAAAGCACTT